CCTCTGTCTCTGTGCCCCTCTGTCTCTGTGCCCCTCTGTCTCTGTGCCCCTCTGTCTCTGTGGCTCTCTGTGCCCCTCTGTCTCTGTGCCCCTCTGCCTCTGTGCCCCTCTGTCTCTGTGCCCCTCTGCCTCTGTGCCCCTGTCTCTGTGGCTCTCTGTGCCCCTCTGTCTCTGTGCCCCTCTGTCTCTGTGCCCCTCTGTCTCTGTGCCCCTCTGTCTCTGTGACTCTCTGTGCCCCTCTGTCTCTGTGGCTCTCTTCCTCCCCCGTCTTCAGGTCCCTTTTCTCTCTCCAGGGTCTCTGTTCGCCGCTCTCGGAGTCAGCCGCCGTCTCTCGCTATCTATGCCTGCTCCTGTCTGGCCCACTGCAGATCAGCTGGGTCCCTAAACATCTTCCTTCCAGTTTGGGAACCTGCTTCATGTACCACAAAACCAAGAACATAAGGGGACAGATTGCCAGGACCAGTTGTCCCTGCTCGAGTCCTGAATCTCTCTGCCTGTCCTACTGAACTCTTCTCCTCCGTACTGTAGTTAGATTTTTCTCAGGGCTTCCAGCTCACAAAAAGCAATATGGAGACTTTTTATTAATTACAAAAGTTCGACCTTAACTTAGGCTTGTCCCCAACTAGCTCTTTTGACTTAAATTAACCCATTTATATTAACCAACATTCTATCATGCGGCGTTACCTCTCTTCCCCTTGCACCTCCTGTTTCTTCTCCATGCCTCCATCTCTCTCAGCTCCGGCAGTGCTTGGACTTTGTGGGTGTACCTGATAGAGCCTTTTCAGACAAGATTCACTGAGGTAGGAAACAGGCCTTCAGAGTGGATGGAGTTTTCCAACACAGGGTGTGGGGATCAAATGGTCCAAAGAAAAGCAGCGTGCACCGCGGTGCCTGCTTGCACTCTCTGCCCTAACAGTATTGCCTACCACCACAGCTTCAACCCAGTGTTGACTTTAGACCCGCCTTCCAGCCTAGACTCCATCCCGGGACTCTCCTGGGAGCGCCAGGCCATCAGCACCAGGTTGGGACTGCAGAGGCATCCTGTGCAATGGACTGAACTGGTTTCTCTGCTTCCCAGCGTGGTGAACATTCTGTGTGGACTAAACAGCCCCCACCACGTAACCATCCTATCAAATACACACATGTGCAGACACATGGAGGCAAACATACACTGTTGATTCTGCCCTTCCACGGAATCCTGCTGTCTTTATCACTTTTCTTTTTGCTGTGACAAGATACTAGACGAGAAGCAAGTTAAGGGGGGAGATCTAATTTTGTTCATGGTCGAGGGTATATTCCATCATGGCGGGGAAGACCCAGGATCCAAAGTGTCAGGCAACATATCACACTGTTTATGCAGTAGGGTGTGTGTGTGTGTGTGTGTGTGTGTGTGTGTGTGTGTGTGAGAGAGA